TTGGTACTGATTCTGGAGCACAGCTGTCCTGTTCTACTATTTAAGGTGGAGGTTTTGACACATGAGGACTTAAAACTGTTTGACACGTTATTACCTTTTTTTTCCTTCTTGCCAAAGGTGATAAAACTCTGCGCACCACCACTGCTACATATTTCTGCTGCCCTCCAAGTCCCACGATTGCCTTCCCTGGTCTCTGCTGTTCCCTTGCAGATTTAGGGTTCCTCCAGCTGTTTTTTTTTTTTTCCAGAAATCGAAATAAATCACAGGGGGCAGTGGGAGGGAGGGAGAATTCATCCCACATCTGAAAATAGAGGTTTTTGAGTCCTTCGTCCTGGCTTTTGTATTGGGGAGAGTAAGGAGAGAGTGCAGTCTATGCTTGCTTGTTTAAGAGTTGTTAAAGCTTACCTTCTTTGAAGTTGTTGGAGAGATTTTTACATGAGGTTTGAAAGGTGGGCTGGTTAAGCTTTGCTGTAGGAAATGTTTCCTGTCCCACTGTCTCCTGGAGTTTGGATTATCTCTAACTGGAAGTCACATTGCTCCTTAGGAATTAAACTTGGTTTAAAAAAAGTTCAATACTTCCATAGCTAAAGTGATATATCCATAGTCCTAGCAATAGAATGAATGATCTACTGTTGAGGATGGGTGAGCTGATGCAGAAAATTAAGGAGAGCGAGAATTTGCCTACATGATAAACCTCACATCCATGCTTCTCCACAGTGCCTTTTTTCTATGGTGAGATTTAAATTTTGGGGTTGTGCTGATGAATTGTTCAGGAGCTTCATTATCAGCTGTGGACAGATTTACTGAGAGGGTTACAGTGCAGGCAGTTCAGCAGCTGAAGTCGACTCATCTCTTCAATGAACTCTGCTCATGTTCTGCCTAAGGACTGTCATTTCTGCTCATTTGGAAGTGCCCCGTACAATGAATATGAAGCCTGTCCTCAGCAATCACTTTCAGACAAGCTCTTAATACTTTATGGAATAGTTTTATGTTCAGTCTATTCACAGAATCACAGACTGGTTTGGGTTGGAAGGGACCTTAAAGCTCATCCAGTCCCAACCCCCCTGCCATCAGCAGGGACACCTTCCACTAGACCAGGTTGCTCAAAGCCTCATCCAACCTGGCCTTGAACACTTCCAGGGAGGAGCAGCCACAGCTTCTCTGGGCAACCTGGGCCAGTGCCTCACCACCCTCACAGCAAAGAATGTCTTCCTCAGATCTCATCTCAATCTCTCCTCTTCCAGTTTAAAACCATCACCCCTTGTTCTGTCACTCCCTGCCCTTGTCCAAAGTCCCTCCCCAGCCTTCCTGGAGCCCCTTCAAGTACTGGAAGGCCGCTTTAAGTTTTCCCCAGAGCCTTCTCTTCTCCAGGCTGAACAGCCCCAACTCTCTCAGCCTGTCCTGATAGGAGAGATGCTCCAGCCCTCGGATCATCTCCCTTTAAAGTTGGAAAGGAGGTGGGTTTTTTTTTCCCTACTGATCAGTGTGCTTTCCCAAATCCTTTACTACTAAATAAAAGGGAGGAAAAAAATGAATTGAAATATCATTAGTAATTACCAGAGGACAAAGTTGAGAACTTTGTCTGATGCTTCCACGTGATGCTGAGTTATTAATCGATCATAAAGAAGATGGAGTGTGGAAACCTCAGGCCTTCTGTTTAATATTTTATTAACCTGTGCTACTGTTTTGAATTTATCAGTGTTTTGTTGATTGGGCTTTGCACTCCTGTCTTTATCAGATATGTAGGGGCAGTAGTAACCTTTGCCTGTGTACATGCTCTTAAGAGGCAATCTTTTGTGATTTCCCCATAATTAAAAATATTGCTGTTGCTGTTTTAACCTTGATGGTGATTTTTATTGACGTTATTAAAGGATATGAAGCTACATGTGAACTGGAGTCGTGACCCCTGAGACTGAACTGGGAGTTCTTGAGTAGTCTTAGAAATCAGATATCCAGCGCTGATGAGAAACCCAAGTATACCATGTTAGAGGCTTTTGAAAACTCGGGATTGTATTCTGTAAGGAAACAGTTTTAATCCTTGTTAAAATAATTGTGGGATAGCTGTGAGTGGGAGAGGATTGTTTTGTCTCCCAAGGTATAGTTTGGCCTGTCAACATGAAGATTTCATGAGATTAAAGCAGGTGAAATTAAAACTGAAGTTACAGTGAAAATGAGCACCTTGTTTATTCCTTCTTTTGTCTTTGTGAAATTTTCTTTCCTTGTTCTTTAAAACTTCTGCGTGCATATATGCTATAATTTGCTTCCCAGTTTGGAAACATGTTTTGTTGGGTTTTTTAACTAAGAATTTAACCATATTTTTTGTGGTTGACTTCCATTTCAAAATTCCTTCTAGCATCAACTGGAAAGTAAAGCCAAACCTTGCTGTAAAGCCAGTGCTGATAGCTAGAATGGTAATTTTATTTTTTCTTTCTTAGCATCTCTGAAACTTTTTTTTTGTTGGGGGGGGGGAGGGGGGTGGGGTGGCACTGTGAGTGTGTGAAATCCACTCCTTGTGGAGTGACTAATACATACTAGGTAACACTTATTTTGGAGACTTTAGCAGCATATTTAATTACTAGATTCCTTGCTTAGTAAACTAAAATAATAGACCACCACGTTTGGAAGCAGGAGTGTGTATAAGGCCTTGCAGCTGGGATGAAATGAAAATGTGCTGAGTTGCTAGAGCTGAGTGATATTCCCCCAAGAGTGCTAAAAAAACTTGAACAATATAGCTGAAATAACAGCCAGCGCATATTGGTTTCAGCCAAGAAGCCTGTGGGGGCTGGCAGGTGTGATGATTTAAAACCAAATAATTAAATAAAGGAAAAATGAAAAAAGCAGCTCCAGGAGGGAATCAGAATTCCAGGTCAGTCTACTGGAAATAACGGTTGCAACTAGCATAGATTAAGCACCTTGGTGAATATGATATACCAGAGTAGTGTCAGTACAACTCTTTGAAAGGAAAACATATCTCTTGGAGCTCTTGGGAAGGATGAGCAAGCATACAAATAGGGTGATCTGGGAGACACAGTCATGATTTCCAAACATCTTTCAACAGGTTTCCTTATCAAAAGAAATCTAGCAGCCTGGGGTTAAGGGGGAAGGTCCTTACATGGGTTAAAATAAAAAAGAATGAAAATATAAGAAATGGAGGGTAGGAATTGCTGATTGATTTTTCCCAGCAGAGGCAGTGGAGATAGATCTGCAAGGATCTGGGCTGCTCACCACGTTGTAAATGACTGGGGAAAAATAGGTGAGAAGTTAAGTGGCATTGCAAGTGCAGCACTTTTATTCAAGATAAATAAGATAAATTGTTTCTATGAGGAGGATTGTAAAAGGACCTTGTGAGACTAACTGGGCTTTAAAAATTGCAGATCTGTCAAGTAGTCCACATGGTAAAAATGATCTTATCACCTGTCAGGTAGAATCTGGGATAACTTACTGCTCAGGAGTTGAGTTTTGAGGTCATTTTAGTTGTCTGGAACTATCTTGATCTAACTAGAAAAGGTGTTAGATGTTGTGAATGTAGAAAATGGAGAGCATTGTGAGTGCAGCATGGATGCACGATGTAGCTTACTTGAGTATTGTGCGTTTTTAATACTATGATCTAAAAGTATATAGCTCATTCGGGAAAAATATGGAATGACTAAAGCAGGATTTCTCAACTTGGAAAGAATATTATTGCAAAGTTGTAAGTAGGAAGAATTAAATGGTACCTAGCATCTACAAACAGAAAAAATTAAGAGCTGTGAAACTCCTTGCCACAGAATGTTGTGCATACTAGAAGTGTACATGGGTTAAAGGAGAGATTTGACAGAGGAAGAATCATAGAATCATGGGATGTTGTGAGTTGGAAGGGACCCACAAGGATCATCCAGTCCAACTCCTGACCCTGCACAGGACAATCCCAACATTCAGACCATGTGTCTGAGGGCACATGTTGGCCAAATGCTTCTGGAATCTTGTCAGGCTTGGTGCCATGACCCCCTCCCTGGGGAGCCTGGTCCAGTGCCCCACAACCCTCAGGGTGAAGAACCTTTTCCTCATGGCCAACCTCACCCTCCCCTGCCACATCTTCCTGCCATTTCCTCTGCTCCTGGTGTTGGTGGCCAGAGAGAAGAGATCAGCGCCTGCCCCTCCTCTTCCCCTTGGGAGGAAGTTCTAGACCGTGATGAGATCTCCTCTCATTCTCCTCTTCTCCAGGCTGAACAAACCAAGTGACTTCAGCCTCTCCTCATACAGCTTCCCCTCAGTTGAGAGGTTCTACATTACACAGAAGCCACATCTGGCCCAGGAGATCTCTGAGCTGGAAATCACAGGAGGTCCAAGAAATAGCCTTCTGTCTTCTATAGGCATGTGGTTTTTGCTGCTGTTCCTCTTTGTTGGCTGACAGGAGGAATGGGAATGTGTCCTAAAACCTAAAAAGATTTCCCTGACGGTGCTTGTGGAGAAGGATATAAATGAACTCATCAAATGAATAAGAGGAGGGATCCAAGAACAGATGGGGAAGGGAATAGAAAGGAGTCGAGGGATCCAAAAGCTTTACAATTTTAAAATGGGGGACTTGAGGAGGAGGGTCATAAATAACAAGGGGAGGAATGTAGGCAGAACCACTGATTTTGGAAGAGGGGTTATAGTGAATGTACACCTCTTGGTGCAGCAAAGGCATGGGTGGAAAAAATGTAATGTCCTCCATACAGAACCTTTCTGTGGTTTTAGTGCTTCTTTTGAACAGGAAATGGAGGCAGGTTTCTGGGGTGGTTTTGTTTGGTTTGGGTTTTTTTTAAGTGATGTTTTGCCTAAGGGGAGCATGTGGGTATGTTTGTGCCTGCATATCTAAGGAGTATAGTCAGAAGAACTGCAGGCTCCCCAGGGAGCAGAATGGCGCAAGGTGTATTTCAGACTGCAGAAACACCACGACTGTATGGAGCTGGTAGCACAGAGCCCATCCTGTGCCCGAACTGAATTCCTGCTTATCTGATCAAAGTTCGAATCTACAGGCAAGTCCTCAGTTAACCATTTTTCAGTTGCTTCAGACTAGGTTGGAGCAGAGGAAACTCCTCCTTTTCAGGCCAATCAAGATGTGTCTTACCTGTGGGTGGACTTTACTGGCAACTGGAGCCTTGCCAAACATCACCTCTTGTTTCATGAAAGCTAAATGTGTACTTAGGTGTGCTAGAACGAGTGACCTGGACTTCCGAGTGCCGCTTGGAGATGATCCCAAAAAGCCATCATCCTTCTCTGGAACAAGGGGCAGATTTGCATCTTGGCTGATGCTTCCTCACGCAGCAAGCCAGCTCTTATCTTTCCTTTGGCTGAACGTGTAACCTTTCATTGCACAAACAATCTTCCTTTTAGACTTTGTTCGTGGTATGAATCAGTGCCTTCATTTGCTGGCCTGTGTGCTGAGGGAGTATAATCTTCTTTTTGACTAGTTGGTATTCTCAAGAATTAGTAATGGCAGTAGTCCTACTTATAATTTAGACTAATAAATTATAAAGGGCAACTGTTTTCCTCCAACAACTGCATCACTGTCTTCAGACTAAACTTGGGTAGATGCTGATGTACCTTCCAAACAGCTCGACTGTATTATGGGGGGGGGGGGGGGAACCCAACCAACCAACCAAAAAGAGGCAGTATTTTGCTATCAAGTTATGATTCTTGTTCTATTGCAATCCACAGTTAAAAGTATTGGTAGTTGTAGGGTTAGGAAAGAAACAATCCTTAAAATCCTGCAGGAGTGCTGGTGTGCCGGGGAGGGAAGCAGTCTGTGTGTTCAATCAGTAATTTGTTTGCTTGTGCAGACAATCACGTGGTTGTAGTTAGGTCAGAGGGTAGCAGGGGTTTACTGTAGTGTCTTAATATGCCCGTAAGTTTGTACTTAGACTTAATTTTCATCTTGAAACTGAATTGTCACTTATGCTTTATTACAGCAGTTGGAAAAGGTTTTTGATCCTTGAATCTAACAGAGTTAATGCTGAAAACTTTAAAACTTTCCAGGTCTAAAATGATGATAATGCAGGGGATTCTCTTTGCTGCATCTTAGATTAATTTAGGCAGAAGTTTATCAAAAAGACTTTAAAAAATGCTGGGTCATTTGACATACTTAGAATAGCTAAAGAAAAAGGGTTATGTTTTAATAGTAAAAATAAATCATTGGTCTTTGTGAAGTGGATTGTGTTCTTGGATGATTTCATTTAGTAGTTTGTTATGCTTTGTCATTCGGGTACTTTTTGCATCTGCCAGGGAACAACAGAAAAAAAATTACTGACTAATCAATCCCATTAAACACAGCTTAGCATCCTGGGAAAAGCTGATAGATTGTAGCTGTATGTTTGGACTAAAGCAAAGCTGTGAAACTTGTAGTATAAATTTTATTTGGTTAATTATTTTTTTTTAATTATTGTATGTATTTGCAATGGATCTGCATGACAGAAATAGTGAGTTAGTGTGATGTCCTCGAGCCTCCCCGCGTGCTGACAGCGGAAGGGGACTCCGTCATGTCCAATGAAGGGCTTGACTCGGTTGGCTTGTTACCAAAGCCTTGCAGCTGGCTTAGTGATTTGTAGCCTTTCTCTCAAGTTCCTGAGGGGAGGAGGCAATGCTATTTAAAAGTCTTATATTTAATCCAAAACCAGTATATTAATTGGAGTATGGTCACTGGATCTTCTCATCACTAATCTGTTTCTTGCTTTTCTTTCCCATATTTATGTTAGGCTCTAGCTCTAGCTTCTTTCTTTTGCAAACATGTATCCTATGAATGTGTGCAAATAGATCCATGTGAATATGGATTCATATTAGCTCAACTGTTAATTCCAGTTATTTGTTAATAATCTATTAAAAAAGATTCCAAATAATCTCTTTTAGTACAACTTTTAACATTTTATATAAGAACCATTACCTTAAATTGGGACAAAACTTAGGGAGCTTAGATGGTTTAAAAAAAGCCTGTAGTACACTGAAATTCCCAAACAAGTTTTTATCGGGCATTTGAGTAAAACAAGTTCAAAGTCTACTCTTGTAAGCCTTCACTGCTGACAGCTGTGCAGTATGTTTGTTTTAAAGCATGGACTCTTGCTCATCCTTTACATGTTTTTTTTTCTTTTTTTTTAGTTCAAAACCCATTTCTTCACCTTTGATTGTACAAGTTGGACATGCAGAGACACTTCAGCCGCTGCTTGCCCTCATGGGTTTCTTCAAAGATGCTGAGCCTCTCAAGGCAAACAATTACATCAGACAAATGCATCGGAAATTTCGCAGTGGCCGGATTGTGCCTTATGCAGCCAACCTGGTATTTGTGCTTTACCACTGTGATCAAGTGAAAACCCCTAAAGAAGAGTATCAAGTGCAGATGCTGTTAAATGAAAAACTGATGTTGTTTCATCACTCAAATGAAACCATTTCTACTTATGCGGACCTCAAGGACTATTACAAGGACATCCTGGAAAATTGCCACTTCAAAGAGGAGTGTGAATTACCAAAAGTTAATATTACCGCTGTTGATGAACTCTGAGGGAATGAAACGGAGTGGGCGTTCTGCAAACTGACCTTGGTTCTGGTTGACAGACATTGTGAACAAGCACTTTTGATGATTTGCTGCTGCTGTGTTGACTCACTAAACTTGCAGATTTGATGGGTTGTCTCAGCTCAATGCGCTGTTTATTTATTACCTAAGAATTTTAAAAACACATGCTGTAACAGGGCTGTTGCTGAGCATTTGTAACAAATACGTAAGATGAAGCATACCTGTAATGTTGATATGTACAAATCAGCAATTTCATTGGTCTTTCCTCTTATGAATGGGACCCTAGATGGATTTAAGAACTGGAACAACTTATCTTATATCAGAGCTGAAGGTGGTTGGACTGATTCACTATTGCTTTGCGCTGCCTGTTTGCTAGCTACTGCTTTCCTGTGGCAGGCATGAAATAATTGAAACCTGTGAGCTTTTTTTGCCTCTAGGAAGGAGAGGGTACATATTCCTTCCCCACAGCTGCCCAACTTTTGCCTGGACAGCACCACGCAAACATCTCTTTCTCCGGCTTTTAAAACAGGAGGAGTTGCAGTGTTCCTGTGTGCATTATCTGCCTGAAAAGGGTTCCAGCAGTTAAAATTCTTAAAGTCATCCTGCATAGCAAGTTAGCCTCCAGGGTAAGGGAATTATCATTAAAAAGAAGAAGTAAAAAGAAAAAAAAAAAAAAAAGGAGAAAAGGGGGAGAGGGGGAAGAAAAAGAAAAAAAGAAAAAGAAAAAGAAGAACAAAAAGAAGAAGAAGAAGAAAAAGAAAAAGAAGAAGAAAAAAAAAAAAAAAAAAAAAGGAGAAAAGTGGGAGAGTGGGAAATAGGCACTCTTTCTTTTAGGTGCTCTGGGAGATGATTCTCTACGTAATCTGGTGAGATTTGTTGTTCTCTAGAACAGAGAAGCAGTTGTTCTCTACATAATCTGGTGAGTCCTTTCTCTTGAAACCATCCGTTTCTCATGTTAAAGGTTTGGGCTAAGGCATTCAGGTTAGGCTGTGAACATCTTGGTCCTGTTGAGATGCTGACAGTTCTCCTAGCTTTGGTTGGAAGGGACCTATGGAAGTGTCCAGTCCCACCTCCTGCTTTGTCATTAGCAACAATGGGATTGTTGCTAACCCTAAATCAGGGCAGGTTTTGGACTGTAAAAAGTATCTGGCTGAGACTTGATTTCTGCTACCTTGAAGGCACCGGACGTGGTGTCGCTTACATAGGCTTTATACATTCAGTATGCCACCTTGTTCTTGAAATGAAGCTGTTTTTTAGAGAAATTGATTATGTACAAGTACTGGTGATCTCTTAAAGCAACTACACTTCAAATAGGTTCACTTGCTACTGAAAGCTGGAAAGTATTTTAGAGCTCTGCAGTGTGGTGGAAGAAGGAAACGTGAAGATAGTTTTCCAGAAATGTCTGAAATGCAGTGTCAGATAAAAATCCTTTCATCACCAAGAAGGGGATGACTGTGTGAAGCACTTGCCCCAGAGGAAATGAGGGTGCGGAATTACAGTGCTGGCAGCTCTTGCAGTGTGTACTCGCCACCCTGTAATGAGTGTTCCAGAGCTCATCCCGAAACGTGAGGCGTAGCATGCTGTGTTTACTGGGGAGGGGGTGAAAGGTTGGTATAAGCCATTACTGCAGGGTGTCAGGTGCACTATAAACATTTATACCCACATTTGCTTCAGGGTAACTTCTTTTTGTAGCCTCACCTTCAGAACTGGGATCTTAACTGCTGCAAAAAAACAAAACCAAAAAGCCAAACTGGCTCAAAGTTGAGGAGTTAAATTTAGTGTATAATTTTTTAATTTTTCTTGAGGACTTAGGCTTCTGTCACTTTTTTTTTTTTAATATGGCTTGTATAAAAGCACTTAAGGTTTATATATCTGGAAGTTAAGGAGCAATCAAGAACCTGTTTTTTATTGTTGTGCTCTGAGTTAAGGGTTCTTCCCTACCTTAGGATGTAGGGCCCTGTTTCATTAGTGCACCAGTTCTGTGGACACTGTGGTTCTAATTGCTCAGGATACTGATTAACATTGGTGGGCGTTTCAGCATTAACGTCCTGGTGAAAGATTAATGTTTATAAATATGTAAAGCGTGAATGTCAGGAGGATGGAGCCAGGCTCTTCTCTGTGATGTCCAACGGTAGGACAATGGGCAGTGGGTGCAAGCTGGAGCATAGGAGGTTCCATGTGAACATGAGGAAAAACTTTCTCACTGTGAGAGTGACAGGACACTGGGACAGGCTGCCCAGGGAGGTTGTGGAGTCTTCATCTCTGGAGGCATTCCAAACCTGCCTGGACATGTTCCTGTGTGACCTACTGTAGGTGATCCTGCTTTGGCAGGGGGTTGGACTGGATGATCTTTCGAGGTCCCTTCCAATCCCCACCATTCTGTGGTTCTGTGTTAGCTCTGCAAATCTTTTTCTGAAACTGGTGAAATGGTTAGGGAGGAGTATCAATGCTGAAGCCAATGTAGGAATATAGGTCAGGATAATTGTCATCACCAGCATATGACTTTTACTGCTAAATCAGCTTTGCATGTCTCCTTTTGTACATGATCCTACCTTGAGACTAAGTCAACTGATCATAGTTACTGAGACAGATGCCTGTTACAAACTTTATTGCAACATTTGAGGCAAGCTACAAAGAAATGAACCTTTGTTTAAAGGCAGTTAAGTTTGGTAAATAGCAGATGCAAGGGTGAGAAAATCCACCTTTGAACAAATATTTTTTTCTGTGAGTCAGTCGTCCTGTGATGATTCATGTTTCGAACAGAAGGAATGAAAGCCTGCCTGTTGGAGATGAATGGAGGATTTCTGTTTGTCAGTTCAGTGAGACTGATTTTAAGACATCATGTTTGTTAAAAGATACATCCTTCTTCCTCATGGAGGAGGAACATGTTGTACTTGACTGCTTTTTTGATCATGTGCCAGATGAGGTGGAAGAACCAAAAAAAATTCCTTCTACCATGGAGCATCATTTACCTCTGCATTGCCAAGCTGATTGTATGCTTTAATTCCGTGCAAAGGGCTTCAAGGATGACTCTTCAGAGGCTGTTTCCTATTTTGCCTTGGAGTATGGGTCCATCATACCTCCAGCATAACAGATCTTCAGTGGCTGTCAGCAATGGAAGGGAAAACCTGCTCTTTGGATGCACTGACTCGCTCCTTTGGCAGAATTATAGGCTGAATGTGGAAACTTTGCACAGTTGTAGCACAAGAAGTGTTTGGACACGTAGATGTTCTAGGCACTTGTTCATATGAGTGATTCTTACCATTGAGGAGGTGACTTCAAGTATGACCATTTTATTTGGTAAATATATACGTTTATTTATATACTAAAAAGGAAAACTGAAATGGATCAACATATTTCCATAAAGCTGTGCACTAGCTCAGTGAGCAGTATTTGAAGAGGTTGCCATATCTCATGGCATCACAGACTACCACATCCTGAAAAAGTCCTGGAAGAAAAATAATGTGGTTCTGAACAGAACACCTCATCTCAGTCATCTGTTGAGGGCTTTCTTTGCAACCTTTCTCAAAATGGAAGCTTTCATTGATGAAAATTACAGACAGTGTTCTTGGATGCTGGCCTTCAATGTGTTTGAAATGTATTTTATTTTGTTAATTGTCTAAAGCTTAATTAATCTTTCTGCCAAAATAATTTTTTATGCTTAGTAAGTTCTGCTGCTGTAATTCTGGTTAGCGTCGAGCTGGCAGATGGCTGGGTGCAATGCGAATTTGTAATAATATGCTACTAACTGGATGAATTTTGAGAACTTGTTTTGGATTTTGAGTGCTATGAAATAAAACTGCACACTTCCTTCATCTCTGTTTTATGAGCAGTAATAATGACACAATCTTTAGTATCATGGCTGTGTTCTGCTTTAAAATACATGTGGTAGCTTGCTATTACTTGCATTGTTGTGTCTGATTTATTCTGTCATATTGCTTGGTGATTAACATAAAATGCCTTAATTAGATTTTTACACTCCCAATTTGAGATCAGTGAAAATTTACTCTCATTTCCAGGAGCCCTGGTTTTAAAAACTGGTAGTTTCCTGAGAAGGTTTTTGCAGACATTACTATCGTATGCAAAATGTCTGGGAGCGTCCTGCATTTTTAAGTGGAATGAGGGATACACATGCATTTTTGTGCAGTCCCAAATCTTCTGCAGTATCATTTTTCTAAACATTATCACTCACAATTAAGAGATTGCCACTGTTGATTTGATAAAGACTTAAAAACATACATCATGCAATACTTTCTAACCTGTCATTTCTTGTAAGGATGTAGCAATAGAGCCTCGTTCTTGAATACCCACTTAGTTTGTTAATTCCCTGATTACCTGTACCTAAAAATTAAGCTTTGCCTGCAGCGTGCGCCTGTGCTGGAGATGCAGTGCTTTTGTAAGTGTGTGGTGACTGGAACAGCTTTGTCTTTGTTCAAGGGCTGTTTCTTCATTTTCAGAAGTATTAGTCTGTAAGACAGTTTGAAATACAAAATAATTTATGCTCTTTTTGTTTAAAACAAACAAAACCCCTCCAAAGTGTATAGTCATAGGAAAAGGAGTGAAATGTCTCTAAAATTAGATATCAAAACCATATATAATCTAGGGGAAGAATGACCACCACTGTTCCCCACTCCCTTTTTTTAAGATATATAATGTATTAAATGATCATTTTGTTAGTTGTCCAGCTTTTCAAAGGGAAGTTGGTATGATCAGATGTTTGTTTGCAGTTGCTGGTATGACAGAAATAATGATCTATCTTTGAATTAGTTAAATTCTTGCTTTCTTGGGCTTTAAGTTCTAGACTATTTCTCCTGAATCCAAGTCATTTCAAACCTGGCCCATCCTTAGGACTGACCTTGCTGGACTGGAGTGAAGATCTGTCATGTCCTCCACAGTCTTCAAAGAATGGTCAGTTCCGGACCATCAGAAGAAGAATTATGTATAAATGCAAACAGTATACATGGATAAACCCAGCAAAGCCTGGTGCC